GTGTAAGATTGTGATCCTGATACAATATTGAGATTTGCCTTTGTGGCCAGCTTTAGTTTTGTGTTACTGCAGGGGATCTGAGTGGGTTTTTTTCCTCCCTGTGGTGTTACTTGGGGATCTGCTTTAAGATGAGTTAATTTCTGACTGGCTGCTTCTCAGTGGCATGAATAGAATATAGAACTTCTATTTCTACAGCCATGTAGATGAGACTATATTTCTTCTGTTATTGACTGTGACTTAAATATCTTTGATATTAAATGTCTCAATTCTATCAATCTTAAGACCAGCTGAGGTCAAGGCTTGAGTTGCAGTAACAATAAAATAGGTTTTAATTTAATTTTCTTTAAAAATTTTTTTTTTCTCTCTAAATTTGGGAAGTTTTAGTCTCCTTTGTCCCTGGATACATCTGTAATTACCCTTTTTGCTCTATAGCCAAATCACAGTAAATAAGTTGTTTAGAAGTTTTTCTCATTGGGAGTGCTACAGTATTCTTTGAGTATCAAGTTTGGTTGTAAATGCTTATCCTTTGATATCTCTGAATACTTTAAAAAAAAAGCTAATATGTATTTCTAGTCTGTCCCCCAAGAGCAATGCTACAAGGCTCAAAGATACCACAGATATTTTATTTATTTTTAGTACCAATTGCATAGTTTGTTTTTTAAGAATTTTAGTATTTAAACCTTTGCAATGGTTCAGAGTTTTGGTGTGTATTTCGAATTCAACAGCTGTGTCTGGATTTAATCTTAGAATAAGCTTGGTAAGCCCCAAGTTTTGAAAGTGCGGTAAACTCTAGGGTCTGTTATGTCACACAGCTTGGTTTGTGGCAGGTTTTTTTTAAACTAGAAATATTCCTTGGACTCCTGAAATGTTTTATAGAAATGCACAGCAATTCATTGATACTAATTCACTTGCTGCAAACTACCTTCAGAGCAGATCTCTTTCCTCTCTTAAAAAAATTCAATGCTTGGAAGTTGAATCTTGTGTTTCTAACTTTATGAATTGAAGAACAACCTTTTCTTGACTTTTTTTTTTTTCTGCCTTGAAGTTGTTCATCTGGAGGAGAGCTCATTCCAAAGTGAGAACATTTGCTGCTCATCAGGTTTCTTCAGGAGCTTTTGGAAGTACTAGATTCCAAGTTCTTCTCTGTAGGGATGTGCTTACCTTCACAACTCTTCTTACCTGTTGTGATTTAAAATTAAGATACCAAGTGAAAGTAGTCTTGTGAGCTTTAACTGAAGTTCAGCGTCTTTCATTAATTGTGTTTTTCTTTTAAGTTGTTGTGTAAATTGCTAGCAATCATACAGACTCTTAGTCCTGCTTTTAGTAGCTTAGAACTTTTTTTTTTTTTTTGGGTAGTGCTTTCTCAGCTGTCAGGTGTATTTATTTGCATATTTGAATTTTGATATGCTGAAAGTGTTTGGCCTTTAAAATGAGCTAGACTGAAAACTATCTAGCCATTCTAGAAAGAAGAAGGGTTTGCATCCTTCAGGCGGATGTGTTTTGAAATATCAATTATATTTAGGCTTTTACGACTTCAGTTGTAGAAATGAATTTTAGTTTACAGACTGCATGAAACTAGCATTACTGTCACAGCTTGATAATGACAACCGTGGTCACACTCCACACGTTGGCAGCCAGGAGGCTCCAGCCCTGGTCCATTGGCTCAAACGAAGGCACGTAGGAAACGAGTTTGGCTCAGCTGGATTGAGCAGAACTGCACCTTTATCATACCCTGTGGAGGAACAGCTATACCTTCGAGCTGGGGTTCTCTATGCTGAAATGTATGGAAATGCTTTTATAAGAGCTACAAACAAGTGTCTTGCTGCAGATGAGTAAGAGCACATGGAAAGCAGATGGTGCTGGAAGCTGATACAATGCTTTTGTTTCATTAACTGCTATAAATACAGACTTCAGGTTTCAGATCTTTACAAACACTGTTGGGCATCTTTCTGAAAATGGAATGGCCCTAAAGATCAGTTGGAGTGATGTTAAAGAGCCTAGGGACGTAAAAGTGTACCTGCCCAAAAGGGGGGAGAAAACCGCCAGGTTCTGTAAAACATGGAATAAAATTTTCCTGTTGCTGTTTATTTCAAAACAAAAATCCATCAACAAAAGAAACTCAAGTGTGTTATCACTTCAGCCTTAAAAGAATTTTAAAAGTTCCTTTTCACCTGTTACTTTTATACATTTATGGTACTGTGCTATAATTTTGGAACACTGCTAGTGACTGTACTCTAACTTTTAACTTATTTTAACATAAATCCTGAACAGTCTAGTTAAGAATACTTAGATGCCAGTGGCTAAGATCAATTCTGTGTTTCTCAAAAGTACTTATGCATTTAAAAATACACTGTACAACTGTGTTTTATGTGGACTAAGCAACTATAAAACCATTTCATAGGGTAGGGTTTTTAATCCAGTGTTAACAATGTTTTTAATGTGCGGGGAAAAAAAATAAATCTTTTTACTAGGCAAAGTAATTTCACAGTATTATCAAGTTCATGGTTTGATATATAATCCTATAATTTTCACAGTGTATCAGTAGCTGGGAATATTTGGTTTTGCATTTTTCTGACATTCTCTCTCTGCATTTTGGAGTTGAGCAGAAAACTACACTTCTCCATTTCTCAATACTCCATAATGAATTGCTTGGGAAGAATAAAATTAATTAATCTGAGCCATTGGTTCCCATATTACACTGTTGTTTTGGCACTGTCTGGGTTTCTCTGGATTGACGGTTTTGCATAAAGGAGCAAAATGCTCACTTACTATTTTTAAAATTGTACTGCAAATAACTTCATTTCTTTAAAGGCTTCTTGTTGATATTTGCATATCACTGCTGCGTTGTGGTGCTGTTGGGTAGGAACTTGAAAGCCTGGCCTATTTCCTTATTAAACCTACCAAAAAAATAATGCAGCAACAAAAACATTTTTATTTGAAAAGCATGTTCTCGTGTATCAATGTTGATCTCTTCATGCTGCTTAAAAACCAACAAGGTATCTCTTAATTGCTATTTTAAAATTACCTGTATCGATGCAGGTGGCTTGGATATTAACCGTTGCTATTTACACTTCCATTAGAGTGTTTAGTTCGCTGCATTTTAACCTGGCATTTGGATTAGTGGTTTTCCCCTGTTCAAAAAAAAAATGAAAATCTTGGATGTCTGGTTCTATTTAAGAGCTAAAGTGTAAAAGCAGCAGGAATCCAAATGTATTCAGCCTCCGCCCGGGTACCGAGCAGGAGTGCTGTTGCCATGGTGACACACGGGCTAGTGATGGGGGGGGGGGAAGATGCTGATGCCTCTCCCCCCACCCCGATCCGGGGAGTTTACATGGCCGAACACGGTTATTCTTAGCAAGGCTCTCTTAAAAAATCAGTGCGTGTAGGAGAGAAGGAACTAATGTGAGTGCAAATTGTGGATATACATCCAGATGCTTCCTATGGTGGTTTGTTTCGTCTTTAATTGTGAAGATTTGTTGGTGCAAGGCACAGCTGTTTGCTAATGGTAGAAAAACGTACTCACTAAAGCAGCAGTGATCTCGGGCACGTTAAATGCGGGGTGTTCTAACGTGGGGCGCTGCAAATGCTGCTGGACAAACCCTTGCTTTACCCTTTTAATGAAAGCTGCCTTCCTTGGGGAGGCTGTGTTATTAAATATAGTTGACATTTCACCGGGAGCAAGTTCGGAATAAGCAAAGGGTAAATAGTCACCACTCCAGAGATAAATACAATTAATTGTAAAGCTTTGTTATTTTCATTTTTTTTTAGAAATGGCAGGTTTTAGAGCAGATAGTATGCTAAATTGGTCCTCTATTTCTGTAGTGCAGCAGTGTCTCAGCCTCGCCCATTTTATTTATTATAGGAACCATAGGCTGACATGTCTTCTGTGCTCAAGCTTATAGATAAATCCCTCTTCCCCTACCCTAAGTGGATTGAGAAACTGTTACATCCTACTGTTGGAATACTCTTGGGTTCTTTCAGAAGGCTGAATATTTTGCATTGAGACTATTATATTTAGTCACTAGAGATCAATTTCTTCCTTGATTAAAAACACACAAACCTGAAATTATAGGAAAAGAGGGAGTGCAAACCCCGGAGTATTGCCTGCCTGACTAGGTTTTGGTCTTTGTATTTTTTTTATTTTTTTTTTTAATGAAGAAATGGAATAGTGGCAAATAGCGTGTGTGGGAATGAATTTATTTGCATGGAGAATTTTCACCTTTTCCTCTGGCGGTGGCTCCCAGAAGATGATGTCACCTTGCAGCTCATTGGTTGTGCGGCACCTAGTGCGGGGAAGGGAGAGAAAAGATGCCGGCACAAATCTCAATGGTGGATCTAGGGTGTTTGCCAGCAGTTTTTGATAGAATCTTTGATTAGTATTGAGAATTTGCTGCGTGTGGCCATGTGAGGTGCTGGGTCCGTCCTAGGGTGAGGGGATTGAAGAGCTATCAGAGGAATGAGGCGGCTGATCTGCAAGAGGATCTGTGATTGTAAGTTGAAAAATCTGGGTGGAAGGGAAGAGACAGGGAGTGCTGGTTAGACACATTGTGGGAGGATGTGTAGCAGAAAATGCATGCATGAGTAAAAGAGGAAAAAGGGAGAAGCATTTGTCTTTGGTAGGCTGGAATGATAAAAAAATATATTAAGGGCTTTCCTTTGGGGAAAATATTCAGAAATAGGCAAAAATATTCAGTCTCTGCAAAGATATTTTCCCTTTGTGGGAATGAATGTGTAGGATTCATTTTTATGTTCAGTTTTACAGTGGTTAATTAGGGAGGGAAGATAATATTTTATAAGAATTTAATGTGTAGAAAATGCTGTTTATTTCTCATTGTCATTTTATTCGTAGGTCAGAGACAGAGGACACAGTGATAAATACTTGTTTTTATTTATACATTTTGTGAATTTCTGTGAAATGTGAAGCAGAACAGTTGATTAGGAAATAAATATACATCTGTTCTAATAGTTATATTTATTGTTTTTAATGTATCCTTTTCTAGACAAAAGCTTTGATGATGAAGAGTCAGTGGATGGAAATAGGCCATCATCAGCTGCTTCAGCCTTCAAGGTTCCGGCACCTAAAAAGCCAGGAAATCCTTCAAACAGTGCAAGAAAGCCAGGATCAGCTGGTGGGCCTAAGGTTGGAGGTAATGTAAAGCTATTCACGTTCTAATCGGTGTTCCCAGAAACCGTGCCAGAGCAGGCACAAAACAGAACTTTGGAAGGTGATGTTTAATTCATGACTGCAGTATTTTTGCAGAGCTGAAAACAGTAAGGGACCCTGTTTTCCGTGATTATTCATCTGTAAAGGTGTGTGCATATCTGTCTGTGAATGTACCTTGTGCTTATAAAGGCCTCTCGGGTTGTAGATAAAATTAACATCTGGAGATGGCAGTTGTGTTTGGTAAAATAAAAATATGCATGCCTCATGGAATCTTCACATCACTTACTGTATATCTAATTGTACTGTGAAATTCTGTAGTAGGTCTGGCTGGATGAAATTTTTACTGTAGGTCTGCACTGTTTCACGTGGCCAGAAAGGAGTAGCCATCAACCATATACCTCGATAGAGGTGTATATTACACCTGAATGTCTTCTATTATTATTCCTTAAACTGTTAGAGTATTGTGAAATTCGTTGTGAAAGGTAAAAAACAAGGGCCAAAAAAACCCCTTGCTAGGATTTCTTTTCTTGCATGGTAGACCTCAAAGCATTATAATGATGCTGCTTACTAATTATATTCCTTGAACATGGAAATCCGCATTTTTTTAGGGCGGGGGTAATCTAACAAAAGCAACTGTTTACTGCTAGAGAAGTACATCTTTTTTGGTGGCTCATGTACACATCCAGAAAAATACATAATCAAGTGGAAATATGCCATGCTTCAGATACGGCTTTTTTATAAATAATTGATTCTTTCAGTAAGGGATTTTTGTAAGAGTAAGTAATATTTTCATGTTCCTATTCATGTAACATTCCCATATGTGAACTGCAAAGATGAAATTTGAAAGAAGATACACATGCCAAACAAGCTGCCTTTTGTATTTTTGTATTAAGATCTAGGTAATGGCTTGATGATTTTATTGTTTTTCGAAGGTGGTGGTCAGAATTCCTAATAAATTGTGAAAAGATTCCCATAGGGTGTGATCAACACTGCCATAGTATAACACAAAATTGATAGCAGTATGAATCAGAAAGTACCACCCTGAAGGAAGCTGTCTCTTGAAATGAACTCTTAGTATTTATTATTGTTACACAAGTAAGTAATAATACTATAGTCTCCTGGAACCTGAAGCGTGGTGGTTTTTGCATGCAAGGCTAACATGTATAGTACCAGAACTGAAAGCTTAAGATTCCTGTGTCTTTGAATATATGCTTCTTTTAATAATATTTTATTAAATATAGATGTTTTTAATGTAAAGTTGTTTTCACACGTAAATTTTTACTGTACATGCTCTGCAGTAAAAACATGGAGATAGGAGGGTAGGGGAAGGCAAATAAGAGCAGAATAACCACTCAGCGGATTTTTGTGGTTTATCTAAGAATTCAGGAGTAAAGGAGACTAAAAAAAAAAATTATTACATGGTTTTTCCTCCTTTTCCTATATTACTGAACTTCAAAAATTTTAAATGAAAAAATATAGGGAATAAGGACAAAATTATAGCATACCAAAACCAGAGAACTTCAGTCATTCTTTGCTTTACACTATCTCCTTTCATCTCTGGAAAATACTGAGGAGTGTTCACATGCGCATCAGGTTCCCCTCTTTTTTTTTTTATTTTTTTTTTTATTCTATCAGTATGTTTATAGTCAGAATTTTGAAAATTTAGGATTAAATGTTTGGCTGGCCTTGCTAGTGTTGATTAAATTGTTCTTTGAATGCTTGCCTGTATGTGCATCTGTGGCAAGGTTGTGCAGAATACTCAGCTGCTTCATGGAGAATTTTTGCCTTAGTATTTTGTAGGAATGATGCTGTGCCTGGTGTTCTTCACCAAATGAGTAGAAGGTGGAAACTTGTCTTCCATTCTTCAGTTGCTCTTGACTACCTGTACTTTTTTCTCTTGCTGTCTATTAGAGAGAAACTTTTATAGCTCTATTAGTCTGCTTGTGTTTATATTTCTTTCATTGCATATAACTATATGTTTCCTAGTTTAATTCTTCTTGGGTGGTTTTTTTCCCTTCAGGTTTTCCTTGAGTTGACCCTCAATCTTTTCTTTTTAGCATTTCCCATGTGTCACCATTGCTGACTTCATTTTTAGCAGCTACTGTTCATCTCCATTTTACTCCTGGTGCTTGTTATTTGTATTTTTCAATGTTTTACTCCTTCTCCATACTTCTTTTTTTGAGGTTACCAATGTTTAAACTAGTTCTATCTTATAACAAGCTTGCTAGCAGGTAGAAATCTTAAATGTCTAAGACAGCCTTACCCTTTTGCATGGTATTTACAAATTCTGTATCTCCTAGCTTAATAAAGAACATTAGTATAGATGTCAAGTGTATTTCTTCAACAAGTCAATCAAGTCATAGCCTCTTCCAGAAGTGAGGAGTTTCCCATAACATTATTCCTATGAACAGTGATACTAGGTCAGATGAGGTCTGTATAGCCTACTGTCCCATCTAGTAGTCAGAAATGGCTACTAGGGAAATGTATGTGAACAGGGGAAGTGGCTTAGAAGCACGTGGTCATTACAGGACAAAATGCTGGGTTTGGAGAGCTCTATTCTACAGAGAACCGTGGTCTTTGAAGCATCCAGTTAGGACATCCTGTTCTGCTTATCTTGAGACTTCATGGGTCTTTATGGCTACAATCAAACCTTGATGCTTTTTCGCATCCAGTTTCTGCCTAAAGGGCACCTGAGATCTTTCTCCAGCCTCAAAATTGCCATCTTGATGGAGCAAATCGTGGTTCTGGGAGTTGTCTGCTCCTGATTTATTCTGGCTCTGCCATATCCCACTGTCCCAAATCTGTCTGCTCACCACTGCATTCCAAGCCTGTAGTCAGTGGGAATATAATTTCTCACCTTCCCCTCATCATCAGTGGCTACAGTTATTTCAGGCTCCTAACTGCTCACCTCATGGTTCTGCCACCTGTTGGTCCTGCTTGCCTAAGTTTTCTCTGACTCTTGTGTATACGTGTCTATATACTAAGAAGTTGCAGTTCAGCCTTGGAGGAAGAAGTAGTAGCAGCTCCATTAAATCACAGAATGGTTAGATTTGGAAGGGACCTTAAAGATCATCAAGTTCCAACCCCCCTGCCGTGGGCCGGGACACGTCCCACCAGACCAGGTTGCTCAAAGCCCCAGGCATTGCTTTTTTCTTTCCTTTTTTACAAAAAAAATTCCGAAGTCATGTCAGTGATGCCCCAGCTAAAGCAGTCCTTCACTGCCACGTCTGCTCTTCAGGCTTCTGTGACCAGGCAGAACGGCTAGTGCAGGTAGAAATTGTGTTGAGTGTAGACTGAGATTACTGCAAGTTCCACTCATTTAAACTGCCTTTTACATTCCAGAGATTCTTTTCCTAGGATACTGTTTTAGGAAGACATCTTTTCCTATCAGCTGTAGATAGCAAAGTAAATATAGCTTTTTCCTGGTTCCAAAAGGGAGTGGAGGGTATCCTGTCTTGAGGCTAAGAAATTAAACCTCTTAGTCATGCTGCTCGCTTTCTTTTATGTTGGTATTTGCTGAATTATACCTCAGATGCATGTGTCCTTTGCTTTTCATTATATACTCCATGGAGATGTTTCTTATTGAAGAAATGGGTAATTCTACCACAAACCAGGTACTCTGTTCAAGTGCAAGGACCCATCTGACATGCAAAAAGAGATTTATTTTTTTACTTTTTCCACAGTATTGGGCACTTTCAATTTAGTGTAGGAAGTGCACTTAAGGTGGCACTGGAAATGCAAAATCATGGTGCAGGAAGGCAGGTGAAACAGCCATGTACACTAGCAATAGGAGTGTCCTCCTTGAGCTGGAATTCTCTCTCCTTGTGCTGGGAATGACTGTGCAAGATCTTTTCCTGTTGGCTGTAGGGATGGGAGAGCTTGTAGAACTTGTGCCTTTGCTGACAGGTGTGATGAAGTCTGCAGAAGACAGCTTGCCAGAAAAGTATCAGAGCAGGCAGCCTCCATGGGGTACTGGCCTGAGAGTAAGAAACCCAGCAGCCTGCTTCTCATCGGACTTCACTGCTGGGAGGTGTTCAGACATTGACCTTCTTGCTTGTGGTGAATGAGAAGTGATGGGTCTTCAACTTAATGGCGCAGTGCTTCGTTTGGCATATTTCTTATTCCATGGTCAATAGGCTTTCCTGAGCTAGTCCTTTGCCAGGAAATGCACAGCTGATCTACCTACTTCTGACACACTCGCTTCCAGCTCTTCATTCAAGTGGCAGAGCCTCTGGATAAAGAAAATTAAAAAAAATAGTCCTCTTTGCTCTAAGGCCTTCTTAGAATATGCACCGTGTGTGTTCTGCCCTTCCAGAAATGGATACTGATGGGCTCTTTGTTGGCAGTATGACAGGCAGCTTTTTGATTGTAAGGGATGCCTTAATTTACAGTAGAAGAAGATTTAAGGTGAGTATGTTAGCCAAATGAGCTGTATTCTCCTCCCTGCGCTGTTCTAGATCTTTTATAGGGCTTTGGCAAGGTCTCTTGCAAATGTGAGCTCCCTGTTCCAAGTCTTCTAGGGAATTGTTCATTTGTATACTATTCAGAAGCTTTATCTGGTCTAGCTAGAGGAGGAAACCTCAGTCTGTACCTCAAGAAGAGGACTGGCCTCCTTTCTTTTCCCAAAATGTCAGGTTAAGTCAGTAGTCTTTAAAATGGACTAAGTGTCAGAATAGGGATACTTCAGCAGGGCCATGTGACATTACAAAAAGCTTGATGAATGAAACCCAGTTGTGACAAAAGTTGGTATTAACTTTCTGTTGTATGTTTTATGAGAAGCTCTGTAGGGCTGGAACACCATTCTTCATGTTGTAATTCCAAACAAGGTGGACCTTCTACTTTTTGAAGTTGTTTTCAGTGGGAAGTTGCTGCATCATGTATTTTTACCTATGGTTTGTTGGCTTTTTTAAATCTGTAGTTTTTTGGCCTGCTACATACTGCTTACTGTTATACGTTCATTAGGTTGTTACACTTTTTGATGAA